ACCCACCGCTCACTCTCCCGCACGATGCCCATCGAAACAACCCTGTCGGCCGCGCCGTGATTAGTCCTGCCCCGGTTTCTTGCGCGGATTTCTGGCCGTTTTGTGCCATGCTCATTTGCTCGCACTGGGACATGGCGATCGTCCCCGGCCGACCACCCTGCACCAGCCTGGTTCCTGTCAGTGCCGTACCCTCCCGGGCACCGGTGTGTTTCCTCGGAGACAGGCACAGACTCGCTTTCACAAAGCGATCCAGCTTGGGCCAGCCAACCCGACTCAACCCGGCCCCTGCAATGGAAACAACAGACGGACTGACGCCGTGACTTTCAAATCCGGCCGAGTCATGCAGGTACCACAGTGTGTCTCTAGCTGGCCATCGGTGCCGATTCCATGCCAATTCCGTCTTGGAACATTGGTCACTGGCGCGCTCTTTTGTCGCCTCGTCCGACGTCGTAGCCACCTCCCTCTGGTGCAAGACAGACAGAGCTCCTTGACTCGAGGACCAGAAAGGTCAGACGCTGGTCCTGACGATCGTGATTCGCGCCCCAGGTCCGGCCGGCTACTACCCCTGTCTACCTCAGACAAACGCGGGATGGAACAAGCCAAGCTTGTTTTTCCATTTCTCAAGTGTTTGACCAAAACAATGCTTTCAGCTGTGGGGGCCTGCAAATCAAGATACGTACAAACCTTCTGAAGCACCCTAATATCAAGACTACAACCACATCCGACTTGTGCTCAATCGCTTGTAACTGCTCCTCGCCCCTGGCCCTTCCACTTCTCCTTCCGTCTCACCATCTAGGGTCTCACTGCTCCTCGCGTGGGGTCGCGACCACTTGCCCTTGAACGGACGATCGTTCGCCTCCTCAAAGAAATAGTGGTTCTCGCTCCGTGCGTAACCCACGCGCCACGGCACCACAAGCGCTCGGCTTCCCGGCCCTCCGCCACAGTCTCCGCCTAACTGTGTGCTCGGCGGTGAGTTGACCGCCAGTGCAAAGAGATTCTGCGGCTCCGTGTAATCCGTTACGAGCCCCGACCGTGCCAGCAGATACCCCAAACAAAAGACGTTGATGGCAAACACGAAGAACAGCACGAGGTAGAAAATGTTATGCCATGCGAACGTATGCGATGAAGTATACTCCTGAGTTCGCAATGACGCATTAAAACGTTGAAGCGCCCCTGGTGACGCGAGAATGGACTTGGGGTACTCCCAATAATGCACGAAGGGTGTCGAGAGAGACGCAATGGTGAGCGTAGACGAAGACAGCACGGCAAGTGCCTCTGCGATGGATGGCATCAGCGGGTTGATCTTATGTTGGCCAAGTACCAGCTGCGTCAGTATGCGGGCGTTGGAAGCGTTGTTGTTGTACGTCCCGCCGTTGAGATCCATCGAGAGGCGCCACTGATCTGCGACATTCTGTGGCTCAAGTCAGAAAGCTGATCGGAGTGCAGAGAGCCAGCCTTGTCACGTACCGCCCAGTCCCTGTTGGCCAGCGACCATGTGATGTCCGAATATGACTTCACGTAGCTGTCGGGGTCCTCCTTGTCCTCGCAGTGCGCCTTCAAGTGTGCGCCAGCAATACCCGAGATGCTGAAATGGGTGGAGCACCAGGGCGAGACCCACGACCGCAGCTCACAAAGTGTGTAACTCTCGAGAGCGCTCGATTTGGCGAGAAGGTATAGAGCATCTCTCGCTGGCTGGTCCCATTCTGAGGCTGGCGCCGCGTGCGTTGCGTTGGCGACCATGTTGAAGTCGGCCGGGTACTGTGAATAGTCAGCGCGTGAAGTCCTCAACAGCACGTGAAGAGGGCGGCTCACGAGCTGGAATACTGGTGGCCGACGCTTGTACTCCGGTCCCCATTTGAATATCTCGTCTACCACGGTACGGTTCAGCCACTCATTTTTGGCCATATTGGGCACGTCATCCCGCCAGTTGTCGCTTCCGATGAGTTGGTCGCCCACACCCGTGGGGCTGGTGTCGGCATTGGGCCACGCCGTATAGATCAACGGCGCAAGCTCCTTCTTCTCCATATTGACGCAGAGTACGTTGACAGAGGGCGACACAACACTTGCCCGTATGGTATATTCACCGACATCAGAGAGATCATCTGGTTGCAAAATAGCATTGACCGGGTTGATGGCTGCTTCATAGACGCCTGAGAAGTCCACCGGTCAGACCAGGACAGTGACATGGACGGGGAGCTTACCCGGGTGAGGCATGGCGAGCGTGACGTTGTTGATGATCCTTCCATGGTCCTCAAAGCTGGCTGCTGGGTCGCCAAACTCGGATTCAATCCATGCAGAAGTCATTGTGGTGTTATCATACAGGAGTGTGGTGCCGACTGGTCTGTCGCTCAGCTTGTCCTCCATGCTGGTGCCATTGGCATAGATTTCGTCCCAGGTACGCATGAAAGAGAGTAGGTTGCGATAGGCTGGCTACATTAGCATTCGGGTCCGTCCAGCAACAAACGATGCTACACTCACATTGACCAGAATACTGGACGTCGAGGCACGAGCCGCCTGCCTCTGCGGGATCGTTATCGCGCAGAGGGGTCGCGCAAACCGTATTCACATACAAAGGATTAGCATACTGTGACCGAACGTGTCCTTGCAGGACCTTGTGTTCCCAACCACCAAATTTGATCTTTGGGGTGATCATGGCCTCCGAGGCTGTGGTATAGAAGGTGGCCGCGACAGTCGCCGCAAGAGATATGGCGCCGAGGAACGTAACACCGGCATAGGGGATGGTTTCCCAGTGGGTGATGAGCGATCCGGGTTGCTGCGAGCATCAGCCAGAGGTCACGTTGCACGTAAGAAAAAGGGGGAGGGGAACGGCTCACAATGACCCAGTTCCGCATGGTCATCTCTGCCAAGGTCATGCCTCTAGACTTCTTCACAAACGCCCTACGACTGAGAACTTGTCCAAGGAAGGAGATGAATACGGTCACGAAGGACATCTCGATTGTCTTGGCAAACAGGGTACACACGACCGACGCAGTGGCCGGAGCGATGCCGCCGTTCGTAGAGATGGCACGGCCCCAGCGCGGCTGCACGATGGCGATGATGAACCACAAGCAGCTCAGTGCCGTGGAATACACGGACAGCGTCAGGATGGATACGGAGAGCCAGCTGACGCGCCTTTTGCGGACATCTTTTGTCGAGCTGCAGTAATTCGGCACTTGGCCTACGTCTGTCAGCTTGAGGCGGCTGAGAAACGGGTTTAGCAGGTCAACTCACGGTATCTCTCATGGAGCGGCTTATCGCACTCCTCGTTCGCATCGTCATCGTCTGCCGGGCTTGGATGGGACGAATGCTCCACCATACCGTCTCGATCACCGAGCCGCAACGCAGTCTCTTCATCTCGCTGCGGTGGGGGACGGCTGAAGTTGGGCGACTGCTGCTCTGCCATGTCGTATGCGGGCGGCGCGGCTTTCGACCAAGTCCCGGAGAACCACTTGCGAAGACGCGACGGTGTCCTGGTCCCCTTTGGAGAGTCCACCGGAGAGTCCAAGATGGGCGATTCGCCCATGTCTGGTGTCCTTGCCTGGCGTTCTTCATGCCGCGTCTCCTGGGGCGAGCTCATGAGGCCGTGGTAGGACCTCGGTGACACGGGCGAGCTCGTTTTGGAGCCGACAGGGACCCGCGCGATGGGCCTCCTCGGCGTGCTGGAAAAGGACGATATACCAAGGCCCTGGTCCGGGGAAGGAGAGAGGCGGTGTTCGAAGCTGGAGATGTCGATGGCTCCATCCGATGGCATCCGCGTGTAGCCATCGCGGCGCGAGACGTGAGAAGACAACAAGGTCGTCTCGGCCTCGTCCGTTTCCGGCACGGGTCGCAGGCTGGGGCCCGATTTGCTGTCGGCCATGACCTCCTGGACAAGGTAGGCTTTCGTCCTGTGCAAGTCCACAGGGTGGCGGGGATGATGATGCCTCCTCACTGCGTAGGCCTCCGAGGTTGTCCACGAGCACACGACACCGGGTAATTACAAATTATGGTAATGCTGGCCTGCTGTGAATGTGGAAGGCGAGGCTGAAAGTCGGTTGGGCTTTTTGCTTCTTTGACCAACCTTCAGTCAACGAGGTTGGTATTTCGTCCCTGAAAACGAGTGTGGGCTCACCCGCAGGTTCGCTGCAGGGGTCAACCAGGCGGTTCCGATTTGGGATCGTAGGTCCCACGGCACGTCGAGAGAGTATTAGAATTAAAGGTCAAGTGAATGAAGATGGGATATATTGTGTGAAGGACGGGTCTCAAAACGCCCTCGGGGCAAGAGTCTGGCGGCATGCAGCGCAGACCTGCAGAGGAGTGGGAGCGGCCGGCACGCTAATATCGTGGACGTAGTGGAAGACGGAGAGGCACCTCGTCTTCGATGTGAAATGACCAGCGGGACCCTTGCATGAGGCGATGGCACGGCAAGAGCGGAGGTCGAAGGGGGTCGCAGCAGACGGCCAACAGCCCGACAACCAACGGACTGTTTGAGGTCGTTTTTCGGGTTCTGGACCCAGGGCAGCATGTGACGGGATGTGAGCTTGAGGTTTGTGATCACTTTCCACCCCCTTCCCCTGCTCCCGAACAAGGTGCGAACATGCTCCATTTAAAAGGAGCGAACTGGAATCCCACAGGCGAGCAGCCAAACACGGGCGAGCGATGGTTTTCGGGATCATGCCAATATTCCTGTGCTCCTCTCACTCATGCTCCCCTCCCTTCCCCCCGACGCACAAAATCGACAGCCTGACTCCAGGGTAGGAAAACGAACCGAAGAGAAGAAGGGAAGGGAAAGGAAGGAAGAAGGACTATCGCATGCAGAGAGACAAGCTGACGCCTAACCGAGAGAAGGCTACCAACCACGAGAGGCACGGGTTGGTGCTCGGCATGCACGCCAAGCAGGGCGCTCCCGTTTCGGGCCAACAGGTCGACCATTGTGGAGGCGGGTGGGTGGGTGGCCCGGTTTGGGGGCCGCGCGCACTCGAAATTGCTGGAACGGGAGAGGGACCTGAAGTAGAGGCAGAATGGGGGGGGAGAGAGGCAGTGCTGCTGGTGCTGGTGCTGGTGCTGCACGTTGGTGCTGTTGCTACTTTCGTCTGCCGTCTGGCTCTAAATATATCACGAGAGAAGCTCGCTTTACCGATGGCATGGGACTGGGGGACTTACTGGGGACTCGGGGACAAAGAGGTTCGACACGGAAACCGGCTCGTGGGCCGCCTGGAATCATGACCCCAGGTCAAGCAAGGCTGTGCTCTCAGCTCTGCAAGTGCAAGATGGGGGACAAGGCAGTGAAGAGAAAAAAAAACAGGTGATATCATTGATGAATGTTCGCCAACACCCACCCTCCGCCGCCGCCGCCGCCGCTCGCCCCCTCCCATGCCGTCCGTCCCTGCTGTGTACCCTTGACCCCCTTTCCCAGTGGTCGCCTGTTCCAACGTCGCTCGCAATATTGCGCCATGTCTCTCACATCTCTTCGTTGCAACCAAAGACATCCGTGGTCACGTCGTCATGCACCGGCCCCGCAGCTCCCTCCTAGTCCCTTCCCTGCCCTCTTCTTCATGCCGCAGCGGTGCCCGTCCGCCTCGAGGCCTGGCTCGTTCCGGCACTGCGTTGGGACTGAGTGCCGGCGCCCGGCCTCGCGAGTGTGTACTTGGCGAACGCCCTTGCTAGAGCCTTCTTGCAGCTGACCTTCTGGCTGCCGACGAAGCTCTCGACCGTCACAGCGATGGCGCGGTCAATGTCGTGCGAGGAACAGTACTCCGACAGTCGCATGCGGCAGAAGGCCTCACTGATGCGGATGATGGCCTCGAGATGACGGACCTAGGGGACCACTGTTAGTCTCAAAACGCGACAGAACCTTGTTGGCAGGATTGCCAAGAGAAAACTCACAGTAATGGGATAAGCACCCGTGGCCAGAGACTCGCGCCTCATGTCGGCGAACAGACGGGCCACCTTGTCCTCGTCCATGTGGTAGAGTTTCGGTGACAGGCGGTCGCGCGCGTAGAGGATGTACTTCCGCAGCAGCTCCTGGGGAATCTCGTTCTCCTTCCTCCGCTTCTCGGCCTCCAGCTTGGCCTTTTGCGCCTCGGATCGCTGCGTGTCGCCGGCGGCCACGTCCATCGAGTCATGGTCCTGGTCTTGCGAGAGCAGCGTTGGGTTGGGGTGGCTCCGGCTGTGCGAGCCAACGATGAAGCGCGCCAACCGCTCATCCTCCTCGGGCTCGACCGTGTCGCGGACGACGCAGAGGATATCGAAACGGGACAGGATGGGCTCGGTGAGCTCGACGTTGGCCGAGAAGGGAATGGTCGAGTTGTAGCGGCCGCCGATGGGGTTCGCCGCGGCGATGATGCCGCAGCGCGCCTGGAGCGTCGTGACAATACCCGCCTTGGAGATGGAGATGGTCTGCTGCTCCATGGCCTCGTGAATCGACGTCCTGTCCTGGTCGTTCATCTTGTCAAACTCGTCAATGAGGCACGTGCCCCTGTCCGCCAGGACGAGCGCGCCGCCCTCGAGCGTCCACTCACTCGTCAGCGGGTCGCGCCGCACGCTGGCCGTGAGACCGACGGCACTGGCACCCTGGCCCGTCGCGAAGACGGCCCTGTGCGCAGTCTTCTCCACGTACTTGAGCACCTGCGACTTGGCCGTGCCCGGGTCACCCAGGAGTAGCACGTTGATGTCGCCACGCACGTGGTGAGAGCCCTTGCCGACCTTGGCAACGCCGCCAAACAGCGACAGCGCCACGGCTGTCTTGATGTCCGTGTGGCCGTAGATACTGGGGGCGATGGAGTTGACGATCTTGTCGATGATGCCGGGGTCGCGGGCCAGCTTGCGGATGGCCGCCTCGTCCTCCTCCGTCATGCGGAAACCAGCCAGTTGATCGTGGGACTTGACGACATTGTTGGCTTCGAGAATGGTGGCAAAGACGGGAAACCCGTTTCGGTTGTTGAGCTGTGCGTCGTAGTTGTTGCGGTAGATGCCCGTCACCTCAATCTCCTCGCCGGGCTTGGCCTTGTCGATGAGATCCCACAGCAGAATGACCTCCCTCGTGCGAGGAAGACGGCCGGCGGGCACTGTGCCGGGCGACTCCTGCAGGGTCAACTTCTGGTAGTTGCGGTAGACCGTCTTCTCCGAGTTGACGGTGAAGGGGCCGCGGGACTGGCAGCTCTGGCAGTACGAGATCTTGACCTCGACGTTGGACTCCTGCTGGAAAGGACCACAACGTGACGCCGCACTTGGTACAGTCGAACTTGACGTACTTGAG